TCCCACTGCACTTTGGGCCGTACTGGTTCGGTTATACGAGACAGACGTTTTAGGGACCAGAAACCTTCACGTTTTAGTGCAAGGGTACGATGTTCTATTTCTGCTTCCTGTTTAAAGTATTACAAAAAATAAGAATAACCATCCATTACAACCATTAAATCACACTATTTCTGAAAGTAAAAGATTAAATGTGTCCTTCTCTTACATGTTTTGCCAGTTCTGCCATGTCTGTATGCTTTGGTGTGGATTTTGGGGTGGTTGTCTGCTCTGACTGAGAACAGCCACCAGAACCCTGGGAGGAAGTGGAGGGCATGCTTTTGCCATGAGAGTTACGCACAGGTGAGGCCCTGCCTGTGTGAGAACGCATCCAGTCACCAGATGAGGGAGATGGAGATGGACATGGAATGGGGGAGGTGGAAGGGGTAGACCCTGCTGTAACCTTGCCTGCAATCCATTGGCAAACCTTGGGAAAGACAAATAAAACAGTGCATCTGACTGCGTGACTGCACAATATTATTCAGCATGGAGTATAAAAGGAGAGATAGAGTGCCCAAGAAGAGATAAAAGAGCTTCATAAAAACAGCCAGGTCTACAAGGACATCTTGGTGAGCAAACATCTTATAACCTCTCTCCTAATTTCTAAATAATACATGCTACTCTGAATGATAAAACAGTTTTATACAGCTCTATTTTCCTGTCAGTTTATACTTGAAAAAAATATATTTTTAAGCTAGTGAGTTGAAGCAGTGATAGACCGATATATATTCCAGGTCAATAAAAAGCCACTTAGAGATTTTTGGCATAGACCAAAAACCATGCCAGCTTGGATGCAACTTTTACATTCCCTTACTGTGAATTTAAATACTGGGCGAAATACGTGTTCACTTTAATGGCTGCATATTTGTTAAAAATAAATTTTCTTTGCCTAGTACATACCACCAGGAGTTTATTGCGTAACCCCACTTTCTAAATTGGCCATTGCAAAACCCATATCGGTCAACCACTAGTTGGAAGAAGCAGGATCATCGCATCAGCTTGCAATGATTAGATCTGAAGAATGCCTGACACCTCTTACCTTCAATAACAAGCCTTGTTTGTCTGTCCTGCTCTGCCCACGCTGGAAAACACACATGGCTCAATATACAGCCAAGAAGTGCACTAGCATCAAATTGTGGCTTTGAAACTGTTATGGACAGAGTACACAGGCTCAAAAACATCTAAATTATAAATACACTTTTGCTGACTACCTCTGATGCTTTCATCATGACTATTATATCAATTACAACAAATTACATATGAAATCACTGCTTTAGCATGGCTGAAGTCATAATAGGCGAGTTAATAGTTTAGTTGCATTTACCTTGTTCGCTGATGGACTGGGCGTAGCATTGCGGTCCTCATTCTGGACATCCACAGAGCTGTCAACCTCTGCATCGCTGCTCTCTTCTATAGAAGCATCAAGTGGCTCCAGGATGGAGTTCTGAGCATCTTGCATTGTTGACAAAATTTCATCCGGTAACTGCTGCTGCTCCAACTCCAGTTCACCCCTCAAAGTCATTGAATCCTGGCATGGTGTACCACCCGAAGAACGTTTACACTGATTCCCATCTGGGACAACACTGGATACAGCACCCCACACATCTCCAGCAGAAGGAGAAAGGCGGCTTTTTGAGTTACGGAGTTGAACTGAAGTTGACAAAGAAGCGCTAGCAGAGGATTCGTTTTGAAGCAACTTGCCAGAACTGTTTGATTTATTTAAGTTTTCTTTCACAGAGCTGTTCTGTGAAAGTACATTAGAAGTGGAAACAGTCCGAGAGGACTGAGAGAGAGTGTTTGAGATAGGGCGGTCAGCAGATAACATAACATCCTCCTTTATGATGGAGGATACAGCTGATTCAGTTTTAGCAAGGCACTCTGCAGCTTTATTTAATCCATCACTGGGCGATCCAGCCAGGACAGGTAAGTTCTGCTTGGTTGAGATCCTAGCAGACATTGAAGAAGGTTGCTTAAGGGCAGGGCTGTCACCCTTCTTTAGGATCAGTAGTTTTGGATCAATCGTCCCACAAGACAATGAACTTAATGACACACCTGGTGTGTTTTCCACCACAACAGATTCTTGCTGCTCTCGCACAGACTCAAGTGTGACATCCATCACCGTGGACGTTAACCCTGTCAACATGTTTGCAAGATCAGTGTGAGCTGAATCATCATTTTGCTTGACAATTATAGATTCTTCTTTTTGCGTAGAGGCCATGGTAAGTATCTCTTCTGTGGGTTTGAGTGCATCAGGATGAGATGAGGTCTGATTCCCTAGATTACTCTGGGCTTGTGAGTCTTGCATCAGTGTTTCCATTGGTCCCTCCTCTTCTTTGTCAGTTATCAGCAGCGTAACTTCACTGTGAAGGGCAGCTGATGTAAAGCAGGGCACAGTGCATTCATATACAGCAACAGTTGCCTGGGATTCAGGGCACTGCACAAGAGACTCCTTGCTGACCTCCATCTCTGCATGCTCAGACTGCCCGTCTATCTCACTTACAACCAGCCAGGTATCCTTCATATCTGGCTGCATTAAAATACCTACATCGATCAAATCTTTCACCTCAACAGCATCGAGAGCCTCTGCACTCACTTCCTGCCTCTCTTCCACATTCACGATATCTGGAGTATCATTCAGGCATATCTGAATCTGTGAGAGTTTATGATCAGTTGGAATGGACTCTTGTACATGTTGGACCATACAGTCAGAAAGATTTGACTGATCTGATTCTAGCCCCTCTAAAGTCTCACAGTTCCCTGTGTGTGCGAGCAGCACGCTCCCATCCCGTTGGTGATTTGAGGACATGGATATTTGTATTCGATTGGCACGGTCATTCTGCTTCAAAACCACATCAGAAGAGCCGCAAACCATGACTTGTGACCTTTCATTCACAATGGGGACCTGTACATTGTCAGTGCATGTCCCATGCCCAGGCAGCTTTGGTTCATCAACAGAAATGTTGTGAAATACTTCTTTAGCAGCCACATTAAAACACAGATCTCCATCTAAAGGGAATTCGTTTCCTTGCCCCTCCCTTGCACTAGTCCCCTTACCCAAATGAAACATTTTGGGGGCTTCACTTAAACGTACATACTGAGAGCATAGCTCTTGCACACACTGTGTATTCTCAGGCGGGGTGGGCATGCCAGGTGTTTTTGTCTTTTGTGTAGCCTTTTGTGTTTTACTGCAGTCCTCTGGGGGATAACAGCTGCCTTTATCGGAGTAATTTGGCATGCTATTTCCACTGTCAGGGGTAATGTGCTCCCCTCCTTGTTTTGATGATGAATATCCTGAGCAAAGGGAATTTCCACTATTACCTTGTTTTGTTCCCAAGGTTTGTCTAATTGGACTAACCGCACCTTCTTTGTCTGTTTTAGGCAGATCTTGTGTGACAACTTCCATAGCCGCCTTAGAGTCAAGTTTACAATCCTGCTTCGCTGAATTGGTCGTACTTTGTTTCTGTGGGATGCCAAACGCAGATGATGTGGCAGTCTGATTTGTCTGAAAAAGGGGAGTTGTTTGGGGCTGCTCCATGTCTTTGTCTGTTGTCTTAACTGCACTAGAGACTGCTGGGATGACTTCTGTTGTTGGAACAAAGGGGCTTTCTCCAGGTGTGTGCTTTCCAGACATGTTCTTGTAGTCCAATTTGATTGTCTCTGGAGGCAAGGGTGCCTTTTCTGTCTCAACAGGGGCAGAGACACCCCCTGCATCTCCAGGGTGTTGGCTCCAATCTTGGCAGTGGCCTGTGCTGGATCCTTCCGCCATATCGGTCTCCCTGTATGCAAGACTTGTTTGCTCTTTGTAAAGAGCAATGCTATCCTTCCCACTTTCAAAAAGTCTGTCTGAAGGAGTCCGACCCTCCAATGTGTCTGTAAGTTTTTGTGTGTCTTCAGCAGTAGCTGACACCAGTCCTCTTTGGACAGATGATATCTCTTCTGATTCCTCTGTGCCGCTGTTTCTTTGAACGTGAGCGATGGTCTGTTCTTTAAATGCAGCCTTTGAGTCTCCTTTCTGCTGCAATGCAGTGGCAGCGTCAACCGATGATGGTGGTAGAGTGGCAGCTGCGACTGGCTGCAGGGCATGCTGGGGTGGCCCGGCCACATTCTGCGCAGCCGCGGAGGTGCCACCCAGCACAGCCACTGCCGGACAGGTGCGCTGCTGCACCGCCTCTTCCCCAGACTGTCCTGCTTTAGAACCGGCACTGCTACACACTAAACCTGAAAGAATGGAAGGGAGATGCGGCATGACTTACCCTTTACAAAATGTACAAATTCATGACACACATATGTTGAGATAAACATATAAACAAAAAGAGAGTGGGAGTTCAATCTTCAACTGGCTGGCAGGAGCCGCCACTGACAGGTAATGTGTCCTGCTAGTGGCTGGCAGTCTCAGCCACTGTAGATCTGCGAGTATAACGCTTTCCCTATCACTCTCGCTGCAAGGAAATACGCAATTTTATTGTTATGAATATATTCTTATGACTCTGTTCTTTTGTATGATTGACGTTTTAGTTTTTTTTTCCCCAATTAAAGCAGTCAAATGAACGTGATCACGACTGGTTGCTTACTGACGCTTCTCTGGATGCTCAACCAGCCAGCCTCTGCTGAGCTGCGAGTATAACGCATTCCCTATCACTGTCGCTGCATGAAAATACATTATTTTAATATTATAAATATATTCTTATGACTCTATTCTTTTGTATGATTGACGTTTTAGGTGGGTTTATCCCAATTAAAGCAGTCAAATTAACGTGATCACGACTGGTTGCTTACTGATGCTCAATCCAGCCAACCACGGTTAAACTGCGAGTATAAAGCATTCCCTATCACTCTCACTGCAAGGAAATACATTTTTTTATTATTATGACTATATTCATATGACTCTATTCTTTTGTATGATTGACGTTTTAGTTTTTCCCCCCAATAAAAGCAGTCAAATGAACGTGATCACGACTGGTTGCTTACTGACGCTTCGCTGGACGCTCAACCACAGTAGTGGTGGGGAACACATAGGCATACTCGTAGCTTAAAAAGGCTGACTGGAGGAAACTGTTATAGGACATGAACTCAAATAATATATTAATTGATTCAAAGTTGTTTACAAAAACAATGTAGAAATAACAAAAATAAAATCAGAATGATTTCCTTGGAATGAGAGGCGGCAGCGGCTGGCTGGTTGAGCGTACAACGAAGCGTCAGTAAGCAAACAGCCGTGATCACGTTCATTTGACTGCTTTAATTAGGGAAAAAAAACGAAAACGTCAATCATCCAAAAAAACAGAGTCATAAAAATATATTCATAATAAAATAGTGTATTTCCTTGAATCTCTTGAGTCGAATCTTTTCAAAATGAAAGTATACGAAACAGTTGTTCTTTTATATAAAATTATAAACTTTGTAAACTTGACAAGACATATGTAGTGTATTTTAGTACTGATGTATGCCATTTATATTTGGGCTCCAAATGCCTTGACATTATAAATTAGGCTACATAAAATTACAATAAACAAACTTATTAATATAAGGTAATAAAAAAAGGTAATAAACAGCCATGTGTGCCTACATATAGCTCTGGAGAAGTTTTAAAGCATGAAATATGCCAAGAGGAGATTTCAGGGACCACTATGACAAAGAATCACTGAATCGGTTCCTAAACCGGTTTTTGGTTCGAAAGAACCGACACACAAAAATGAGTTGGACTTTCCATCACTACATTCAACAATTCTACAGTCTGTTATGTTGTACTACATTCTAGATTAGCGGAATCGTCAGGATTTTAGTAATACGTTGGTTTATTTGAAATGTTATATGAAAATCCACTCGATAAGGACACATTAAACACACTTGAGGATAAAGTAACGCACAAAATTATAGGCTAACTTGGTTGCTGTTGCACTTGCAGTGACAGACGACAGTTTCGTTTTCAGCTCGAGGTCTCAAAAGTGTGCAGTGCTAAATAATCGGAACCCTTCAAATTTGCTAAGGTTTTTGGTGCAGTTGCATTAAACGTAGATAACTAACATGAATGCGCTGTTGATCCAATCGAGTCAGCTCAAAAAGGCCGTACTGTTAATTACATTACAAAACCGATGAATACTTCACCCCGACTGCTTGAAAGCTGTTTTTATACAGTCTATGCTTGAAAGTCAACTTGTCCCGCCATGTCCCAATCCCCCCCCCCAGTGACCCTCTTTTCCCCACTCCTCCTCCCCGCAGTAACTGAGCACGTTGTTCCTCATCGAACGGGTGGCACATCAAACCGAACTCTGGCCTGCCTACTGAGGATGAAGCAGAGGACGTAGAGGTAGGTGCTGGTGGATGGTGTGGGCTGGTTGCCACAGCTGCCGCTACTGCAGCTCTCTCGGCCTCCAAATAACGCTGTACCTGCTGATGCTGGAGAAGTCTAGACAAGTGTGGATCAGAGCGAAGTGCAAGGTGGGGATCTGACCTCAGAGCCAATACTTCCCTGCGTTGCTGCTGTTGAGTGGCCAGATCCCTCCAAGGGTCCCAGGGAAAGTGAGTGGCTTGGGAATGACCTTGTGGAGGACCATGTGGATGTGGTGGGAAACGATCAACTGCAGCACCTAATACCAGTCCGGCTGAGCCTCCAGCACCACCAAGATAGGGATCAATACACCGTGGACGATCTAAGAAGGACAGAGGATGGTGTGGAGGGTGCGAAGTTGGTGGAGGAAGAGGCACGCCAGGTGTAGGTGTCAATGAGAGGGTTGAGGAAGGAGTGGATGGATGGTGTGGGTGCCGACTATTAGGCCGTTCAAAATTGTGTGAAGGCACGGCGGAATGCAGTAAAGAGATGGGCACTGGCTCAGGCTCCTCTTTACGCTCTTCTTTGACCTTGACTTGGGGGAGGAGCAACCCAGAGGTTAGACCAAGTGCAGGTTTGGATACCGGAGTTGTGGTACGATCAGGCTTCTTGACTGGAAGCGAACTAGAAGAGGCTGGACCATTGTTCTCTCCTTGCGAAGAATGGCTGGATTCTGTGCTGAGTGTGTGCGGTGGCTGTCGGTGAAACAGATCCAGAGGAGAGGGGGCTAAGGGGACGTTAGAAGGAGAGGTTGTGAGAATAGACGATGTTGAAGATCGAGGTCTGTCTGGTGCTGCGGAGGAAGCTGACACTGGTGCCCTGGATGCAGAATGTTGTCTCTTGTCTGACTCCCGTTCTCTTTCTCTTTCACGCTCTCTGCTTTGGCCATCTGACTGAACTCCACCTCCGTTCAGTGGGCCCAAGCCATTTAGATGTGAACTGGGGGTGCTGCTGCGATGCTTGAGGGATGGGACACCAGGTGACATTCGCACTGGCTGGCGTCCATACAAGAGACTGTCTCTGTGTGAAACAGTATTAAACCAATTAAGTTATGTGTGAAGTTGCGAGATGCAATACATAATTTACTTTTGATCTTAAAAGCCCACTTGAAAACTACCTTATAACAACAACTTGTTTTAATGTCATACCTGTCCTTTTCGTCTTTTATATGAGTGGGTTCTCTTCTTTCCACATCCTTTCCTCTATCATCTCTCTTCTCTGGTCCTTTTGCCCAGGACGATCCAGAGGGGAAAGAGGCAGGGGTAACATGCAGACGATTCCATGGATCATGGGGGTTACCCAGTCCTCCAACTGCACTTGCAGAGGGCTCGGCCTTATGTCCAAAAACATTGGCAACTAAAAGAAAATGTATAACATTTGATTAGTGTAAATGTGACTGATAAAATACTACTTAAATTAACTTTTGCGACCCTTTATTAAAATGCTTAGGAAATGTTAGAAAACCAACACATTCAAATTAGAGCAGTGATTCTCAACTGGGGGCCTCTGCAAACATGGGGCCTGAAAAGGACTTAAACGATTTAATATAAGACAAATCAACTAAAAATCAAAATATATCAAGATAAATCAAGGATTGAAAAACTTTTTTTTCTTTAAGAACCAGGAATCCCACTGGAAAAGCCATGAACTTTTTAACTGGAAAAGCCATGTAAATTGATGAAATCTTATAACCCCTTGGACACTTCTATAAATTAATATACATTTTCAAGTTATGCCGTCGTAATCTAGTAAACCACAAAAACTGCCTTGAAGTCAAAAAGGTTGAGAACCAGTGTTAGAGTTATCCGATTAATTAATACATATTCTTAATTAACAAATTAGCATGACAAACCTATCGTGGGGCTGCCTAGGCCTCCAAAGGCACCAGAACTCAGGGCTCCCAAAGAAGAGTAGGAGGATGAACGAACATATGGGTCTGTAACACGAAACCCGGCCATTAGTGATAAAATCAGCTAAACGCAGAGGAAATTATGCTCTACAAAGCTAGCAAATGAAGCAAGCCTGAAGAACAGAACTGCACAAAGCAACAAGAGCAGCCATGGGTAACATTGGCTTTTGATGCCTCTCTTACCCAGATGTGCTGCTGAGGTGAGGAAAGAGGAATGGGGCGTTGATGGAGGCATGAATGGTGTGGAGGACGGATTGACTCCACCTGAGAAAACATGGGTCATGTCAACTCAGACAAAAACTTAAAACACCCATAAATGGACTACCATTGAGTGTTGACATTTAGCCAAGTTTGTGCTTTATATCCTCCTTAAGCCTTTCTAATTTATAGCCCTTGTACGGCAGCACAGTAGTGCTGTAAAAATCCTTCAGTAGTGCTGTCAAAGTGTTTTGTACCTGAAAACTGTTATTTAGATAGAAACAACCCACTTCAATAGCTTAAAAGCAATCATAGCTTAAGAACAACCACAGGCTTATATCGCCTGCAGAATTCCTAAATTGGTTGTAGAAATAAGTGTAAGTATAACCCACCAGTGAACAGGCTTCCTGGTCTTGTAAGATCAGGAGTTGGGGCAAGGGGACCACCAAGTGGTCCTAGACCTCCTAGTCTACCAATACCAGGGCCAGGGAGTCGAGGCAACAGGTCATTACGGAAGTCCAGCTTTTGTGGATCAGCATGCATAAGCTGAGGAAGATAGCAACAGAAAGGTGGTCAAAAGGACTGATGCCACTTTTATTTAAAAACACTTCTAAAAGTAAAAAAAACAACAACAAAAAAACACATGAAATATTTCAGCCATTTTTGCAATTTTTGGCCTGTTTGCATTAGAACTAAAAATAAACACAGATAAACACAAAAACCTTGACTTTTTCTTGATGCCTTAGAATCATCCAAGCAACACGGACATGCATAGCACACCATTTTCCAGGCTTCTGTAAAGAGATCATCCAAATAAAGTTAGAAAAGTCATTTAGAGGTCAACAACTAAAATAAATGAAGTACAAAGCAAATGTTTAAACTTACATTACTGACTTTTGGTGGTGGTGCAAATGGGTCTGTTAGCTGTGGACACAAACACCATACATTATTCATATTATTCATAAGTCTCTATAAAGTTACGATTACGATGTATGATGAAAACATGCATGATAGTGCATCTTTACCCTTGGAGCTTTAGGTGGAAGGTGGGGCGGTACAACTCCCAAACCAGCAGCCATCTCTGGAGCAGCTCCCTGAAGGGCAACAAGCGGTCAATAACAACAAACTATTCAAACCCACTTCATGGGCTCAAAATATAAATAGGAAAAAATGTGACTGGATTGGTGCCTAACATTGGCTTTCACTCAATTAAAGTGGTCATCCTTACAAATCAGATTGTGCTTGAACTTAATGAATAACTAACATATTCAAAATTTCAGACCTTAGAATATCTTGCCCAAAATATAAGCCATAAATTCTTCATGGTTGTGCCATCACAACAAAACACAAACATGTGACCAATGAATATTTGCACCTTTAGCCTGTAGGATACATAATACTGCTAAAAACCAATAGAAAAATACTATTCTCTCCTTTTACCAATCGGAATAAACTTTAAGACAAGACAACAAACATACAATAAGTTTTACTAACTTCACAGGTTGGTCATTCATAATTTATTTAAACATAGAGTCCTTTCAAAGATATAGCTGAAAAATGGCCAATTTAAGAGAGATTGCAAAATTATTTAAAACTAAATTGAGTGTTTATGTCTTTGTTATGAACCACAAGCATTATTTTAATTCTGATGAACCTGAAATCAAGTGAAATCAAGTCCTTATTTTAAAATTATTATAAATATCTTAAACTCCAAGCTATTAATTTGTGTGATAGAAAGACTACATTTAAGTACAAAATAATTTATAATGCAACTTATATTTCTTTATAATATTTATGGTAACATTTTGGAATAGGGAACACATATTCACTATTAATTAAGAGTTTTCCCTGTAAAAAAGCTCCTAGCTAGCTCGTAAAAAATAGTTAGTAAGGTATAGACATGTGCCGGTATTCAGTAATGCTATATCACGGTAATGAATATGCACGATATTGTTATCATGGGCACTTCAAAATACAGAGAATAATTATTTATAATAAGTTATTCAGAAATTTTAATGCACTTTAAGAATACTTTTCCCATCAACGGGTCATAATGCACAACACCGCTGTATGCTGCGTTAAGACGCATACGCACTCTGATGTAAACAAGCACGGATGAGAAGCGCATGGTGGAACGCGTGAGAGAAGCTCTGGATTAAAGCACATTTACTCTCTGACAGCAAACGGCGCTAAACATAATGCAGCTGTTACCCCGTAAACAAAACAGCTTTCTGTTTCAAAAGTGTTTAATTTATTTAAATAGCCATTCAGATTTTTGTATTCGCTATGGTGTTCATCACAGTGCCAAATACGTAAATATTTAGACTTAATAGGCTATTTATTTTGAAACGTGCCCTAGATATTGTTTAAAAGTGTTTTGATTCTTTATTGTTCGGTCAAACTTTACATTAGGTCTTCATTAGTTAAAGGGGTGGTTCATTGCGATTTCACTTTTTAAGGTTAGTGTGTAATGTTGCTGTTTGAGCATAAACAATATCTGCAAAGTTACGAAGCTGAAAGATCAATGCAAACGGAGATATCGTCTTTTAAATGCGAGACGGAACACAACGCGGAAAGTGAAGTATACCCGGATCTTTATTGGCTCACTGACGGTGATGAGATTAACCCCTTAGGTATCGAAATTTGGTAACGAACGACGAGACGTTTTTCGATACTCGATGGTATCGAGGCAATTCAGTCGGTGCCTAAAAAGTATCGAACTCGATACCCAGCCCTAGTCATTACTTTGTCTAATTTCACTCGCGCACCCCCAACATCCAACACCCCCCCTTCAGGTGTGTGAGCGGTGCGCATAGAAACGCTCTATCACAGTGCGTGATAACCGCATTGAGATGTCTTGGGCTTAAATGGCTTCAAATTACTTTAATGTTTAAACTGACAAGACTTAAAACACGTGAGAATGAAAAACTTTCTCGAGGAAGCAGCACTGGCCTGATCGTTAAGATAGTTTTGGGGGGCTAAGGTGACAGATAGTGGGGCTGAAACCCACCTAAAAAGGGTTTAGAACCGCCCCTGGTATAGCGTGCGTAATTATACTGAAACATAAACATATAACCAGTTTACCTGATTCAATGTGATGGCTGAGTCTGTTTCTGAGATAACAACATGCCAATCCGTGGTTGGATTTCCGACACGGCTAATCGTAAATCATCTTACCCTGTCAATAAGCGTGACCAGGGTTGCCAGGTTTTCACAACAAAACCCGCCTAAGTGCTACTCAAAACTAGCCCAAAACTACAAAACGCGGCAAGTGTTAAAGTAGCCCAATTCCGTGGACTTGGCAACACTGAGCATGACTGATACTTGAGCCAACTCTGCTCTAACTGTCGACTAGCAGTGGGAGTCAGATTTCCCCCTAGTGGATGGCTAAAGATTTAACTCATATTCATAAATTCTCAAGGGAACGTCTCTAAATTAACTGATGCTCGCACCCCCCTTGACAGGTGCTGGCGCCCCACAGGTTGAAAACCCCTGCTTTAGAGAAGAGGAAGAGAAAACTAGAGGTGCACGTAAAAATCTAT